AACTTCTGGAACTCTTTTCCTGGTATTTATCAGCTTGGAGCAGGCCAAAAGAAGGAAAAACATCTAACAAAACCTGAAGTGGGCCACTTCAGAGCACAAGGAGTCCCTCTAAAGAGAAAACTAAGGGAGTTTCCTGTTACTGAAGATGCACTTATTCCTCTTGGAACAACAATCACAGTTCGCCATTTTGTGCCCGGACAATTTGTGGATGTTACTGGAATCACAAAGGGCAAAGGTTTTGCGGTATGTATTATTTTCCTATCTATGTTTGTTAAGCCAGCTTTGTTCTGCATTTAATAATGTAAAAAGAGAGCATCAGCAATTTGTGCATCTACTTGAAATTGAATTGTATGGCGTAATTCCAGCTCATAGTTGTTATCTGATTTTGTTCCAAACAATTACTTACAGAAATGCATTGCTGTGACTCTATATGTAACTTTCTAATAATGTAAGCAGCATTTACTTGTGTCCCTATCAATTGTTTTGAACATGCAAGCAGATAATGAACACCGCTCATTGTTGAAATTGGAGGTGCTTCTATTCTTCGAAGTGCTTTAGGACTTACGCAAGCCCTTGGAAGAGCTGAAGTGTGGAAGTCATTATTAGAATATTGACCAATTGTAATAAAAAAAACCAGTGTAGTTATATGGTAGATGAAAAATATATGGTGTTGTCACTTTTCAGTCACAGTGTTCAATAGTTCGTACATAATGTAATTCCAGTTACTTTGAGTTCTATTTAGGTAGCTGTCTAGATTCGTAATACTAGGAAATGTCTCATCCGGTCCTAGGCTCTTATATTTTGAGACGGAGGGAGTAGTTTTTTTTTTCCTGCTTGATGGCTTAGCATATATACTAGAAAAGCAGAGCTAGGTGAGTTAAGGTTGAGAGGAAGCAATATAGCAACTTGATTTACCCTTCTCTGAGTTGTTATTGTGCTAATGATAAAGAAAAGAGTTGTATAGAGATTTTAAGAACCTTCAGGATCTGTGCTTGGTATTTGGTAAAGGCTAACTCTAACAGTTGGTCCTGGGGACCTTTTTACCACATTAATGCAAGTTGTTGATGATTTTCAATGTTTAAGGCTTTAATATTAATTTCACATTTGACTATATTATTGCAATCAGATGTATTAATTTTTTTTATTTCATTTGATTAACTGTTCATAATACCACAATAGCGTAGCATCCATGTTTGCAGTTATTTGGATACTTCAGAATTTCACTTTCATAATCCATTTGTCATCACTCCACGGTATGAATATAAGTCATTTCTTTAACACTTTTTCCTTGTGTAGGGTGGTATGAAAAGACATGGTTTTAGTGGGATGCCTGCATCACATGGTGCATCTCTATCACATCGGAGCATCGGTTCTACTGGTCAAAGAGATGCTCCTGGAAGGGTATGTCTCATAATATCCATGCACTGACCACTTGATAATTGGTATACATTTCTCTTCCCAGAAGAGGCAGGTAATTGCCACTATAGAATACGTGGCAGCATAGTTTTTAATAGAACTTTCCTGATATAAGGATTAATCCTGTATAAGTATAACTGGCAAGTTATCCCAATGCTTAAGTTGATCAAAAGATAGTGCTTCTTACAGTTCTCTTTTTCCACACTTCTAATTATTATTCCATCATTGTTCATAATAGTTAGTAGATTGCATTGCATATTCTCGTTACTGTTATGGTTATCCAGAAAGCACTATCAAGTGTCAATTTGTGCCTTTTTTTTCCACACTACTAATTATTATTCCTTCATTGTTCATAATAGTTAGTAGATTGCGTTGCATATTCTCGTCACTGTTATGGTTACCCACAAAGTGCTATCAAGTGTGAATATGTTAACATAGTAAATGGCACATACATATAGCCAAAACAACAGTACAGCCTTATTTAAGTGGAGTTTTTATTATGTTGAACTGATAATGCCCTTCACTGGAGATGCAGACATACAAGCTAATGCTTTTTACATAAAATTAAAATGCATCCCAAATATTTTTAGCCGTTTAGCTTAAAATGGCTTAAAATTTGTTAAAACAAAACAAGGGTATCTTGATTTGAATGAAACTCAAATGGTTAAAAAAAAACGGAAGCAGGGCAGCTGCAGCTTTCTTCATCTAGCTATCTAGGTATCGTTTCTAATGGAGAGATTGTTTCTCTTCATAAAAATGAATTAGAATCTAGATATAGACAATGTTGCTGTTGATTTGACTTTATCCTTCCCACCTACTACTGGCCTCAACTTCGGTATACCAACTGCTGGCTTCTTACCAAAGAGTTGCCATTTGATGTCCCACTGACATGTGAGCCTGGGAACACATGTTACTTAGAAATCCTGTGATGAGTCCTAGAGTGCAACAACGGAGCAGCAAATCATAGATTTTCCTACAGCAATAGAGCACTTCTTCCTTGAATACGTTCAAGGGAAACCCTCGGTTGGTTTTGTGGTCCTTATGAATACTCCGGTTTTGTGAGAGTGACTCCTAATGGTGTGAGTGAGTGAATTAGTAAATGTGTGGAGCAAAAGACAAATAAAACCCTGTAAGACCTTATATTTTTGTCTAATGATATGGCATCTTCAAGGTATAACCTGCAGTTAGAAGCGACTTTTCTGGTATTTTCCCTGAGTGACGTCACTTCAAGACTTCCTGTGTTACTCTTGGGCTGAACAAAATATTTTTTTTTCCATATCATAAGCAAAAGAAATGCAGTGGTTTAAATTATCATATGCAGTTTGTAATCTGAAGCTGTTGGTTGGAAAACAATGAAGTAGTTAACTGAAAGCAGCCTGCGGCAAGCATTCTTGCATATATAGTTGGTAACATTGCTGTAATATGTTTGCAGGTCTTCAAAAACAGAAAGATGCCTGGACGTATGGGTGGTGTACAGCGCACCGTGAAAAATGTATGGGTTTATCAAATAGACCCTGCCAGGAACTTATTGTATCTGAAAGGCCAGGTAGTTTCATCTGTACCTTTGAACTTAATGGTATGTCTTGCTGATGTATAGAGGTTGATATGCGCAATATGTATTTATCGTTTATTTTGCAGGTTCCTGGTCCTCAAGGCAGCTTTGTTTTTGTTAAGGACTCAATATACAAGAAACCCGACATAGCTAAGCTGCCTTTCCCAACATATTTCTCACAAGAAGGTGAGTCGGAGGAGCTCCTCGTCGCTGATCTTGGTGACATCGACCCATTCATGGTAGCGGATTAAGATTAGGGCCTACTTTGGAAGGGTCCTTTTGTTTTCTGTGCACTTCAGCTTGACCATCCGACAAAATTGTTAAATTTTGCATGGATATATGAGTAGTTGCTGGATTGCGAGTCATCCCATTACTGGCCCGCCTCTGATCAATGTTGTTCCATGTACACTACTTGGCAAATGTGCCAGGGCCCTAACTCGATTAGGGTTTTGAGCTGATTGTTTGACAAAATGGAACTTTTTTGTTCAATAATTTGTGTAATCTAAGCTTCAGATAGATATATAAAATGGGAAAGATTCACCGCAGAGATAGATGTATGTCAGCATTGTATTGCAGTTCTGTATTCTCCAATTCAGGCTAGGTTTTGTGTTCCTTGAAACCAGACAGTAACCTTTGATTGGCCTTCTCTTTTTAAGAAATGAGTTTTGAGTGGTGTATGTTTCTTGCTCTAGACCTGTAGATCATCATGTTAGGCCATGTTTAGTTCCCACGCAAAAACTTTTTATCCTGTCACATTGAATGTTTGTACACATGCATGGAGTATTTTTTTTTACCTTGTCACATCGAATATTTGTATACATGCATGGAGTATTAAATATAGACGAAAAAAGAAACTAATTACACAGATTTGTGTGTAAATTGCAAGACGAATCTTTTGAACCTAATTGTGTCATGATTTGACAATGTGGTGCTGCAGTAAACATTTGCTAATGACGGATTAATTAGGCTTAATAAATTTGTTTCACAGGTTACAGACGGACTCTGTAATTTATTTTATTATTAGACTACGTTTAATACTTCAAATGTGTGTCCGTATATCCGCGACACGCTAAAATTTTTCACCCTCAGAACTAGAAAGGCCTTCCTTATATCCTTGCCTTACCTTATATCCTTGGAAATAAGGTGTAACTGTAGTGAAGTTGATCAATTGAAAATTCTACGGTGATCGTCTCTGGAGTTTCCTATGGTTATGGTACCTATAAATCACGCTAACAAATGTAATTAAATATTGTTTCACTGAATTGCGACGAACCGATCAATGTGTTACTTGAAATAATCTTGTTCTTTCATAAGTTTATTATTGTTTGATTTATAAAAACTAATGGTCAACCGAGAAAGGTAAACACATCGAATTGAAAGGAACGTATGAGCGTTACACGAATCCCAGTACGCTTCGACATGGTTCTGATTCGGGTCAAATATAGATCTAATCATGAAAATGTGTTGTGGTACACCCCATATTTAGGGCCCCTTTAAAACGCATGAATGAGAAATATGAAAAACTCAAGATTTTTTAATAGGAATGAAAGTGTCAAACAAAGGATTACAAAATATAGGAAAAACACATCTATGATCGTTTTGATTGTACCGTAGAAAAACGCATGAATCGGGTGAGAGAGATAGGCTCAAAGGGAAATTCCCAAGAGGTTGAAGCTAAATTTTCTCTAAAATTTTTATAGGATTGTCCATTCCATAAAAATTTCAAAGGATAATATAGAATTCCATGAGACTAACATACTTGTAATGTTTAAAATGAGAAGGAGCTTTGCCATCGCCAAACGGCTGTTAGGAGGAGGAAGAAGATGAGAAGAAGGGTAATTTAGTCCTAGATAGTATTTTAATGTTGAGAGCGATATTTTATGGAAACCTATTCATGAAATGGTATTTTAACGATACCCAATTGTGACAATGGCATAATATCAAAATTTTAAAAGCATATTACTACAGTTACAGTCTACAGTCCACTCGTCAGTCGTGTCCTATGAAAACCAACCGCGGCTGCGGCTTACCACACTTGCCACCAGCACCGCCACCGCGAGCCCACCCCCACCAACCAGCAATGCGTCGCGCCCTCGACTGGACACCTCCCCTCCCCGCCTCGCTCCTCACCACCACCCCTCGCCGCCTTCTCGAACCTTCTAGTACCTTCCCCCTCCCCCTCCTCCGCCCCTCTCCTCCTCCACCTCCTCCGATTTCTCCGCCTCCTCCGCCGCCGCCCGCAGCCGCGGAGCTCCCCGCCGCCGACATGGACGACGCCTGCGCCGTCTGCGCGGAGCCGCTCGAGTGGGTGGCCTACGGCGCCTGCGCCCACCGCGAGGTCTGCTCCACCTGCGTCGCCCGCCTCCGCTTCGTCCTCCGCGACCTCCGCTGCTGCCTCTGCATCACCCCCTGCCCCGCCGTCTTCGTCACCAAGGTCCCCCTCCCTCCCCCTCCTCCCCACGAACCCTAGGGTTTTCGCTTCCCCGATTTCCCCCCTTTCTCCCTTGCGCGCGCGCGCGCGCTCACCACCTGTTTTGGTTTTCTCGATTTGGGCAGGCAATGGGGGACCGGACGAAGGTGATCCCCGATTTCTCGGCGCTCCGCGGCGCCGGCGGCGAGGGGAAGGCCGGGGAGTACTGGCACCACGAGGCCACGCAGACGTGGTTCGACGACGCCGACCAGTACAGGATGATCAGTGCCATGTGTCGGCTCTCTTGTAGCGTCTGTGATAGCAACAAGGAGGAGGAGGAGGAGCGTACTGGTAAAGCGGCCAAGGCGAAGCGTAAGAGCAAGATCCGGAGCGTTGATCAGCTCAAGGGGCATCTCCTCGATCGCCATGGCTTGTACATGTGTGACCTTTGCTTGGAAGGCAGAAAGGTGAACTATTTTTTTTTCTCAATACATGATCCTACCTGAATAACTGATACTTGAGTCATTGCTTGAAGTATGTGATATGTACTTTGGTTTGCTGTATTAAATTTAGTTTGTTACACAAGTTTGATGTTCGTTCTGATGTACGTTTTAACTGGTTCGACAATATTATTCATTGTGAATAAAATTGTTATTTTGTACTTCCAGTTCCATACTTCCATCGCTAACTATTGTGAAAATAATTAGGTACATTATGGTCATTTTTCCCCCTTAAAAATTCCTTTGTGCCCAATGCCACGAGCCCATGATACATATGAGACAGGAATTACCCTGCTGTGCACGATCAATTTATTATTAATTCTTATCTCTTTTAGTTGCATGATGCTATAAGTTTTAACTTGCACAGAAATTATTTGATTTAACACCAAAGCATTCCACTGTAGAGAAACATAGGGTTGACTCTGCACGGGGATTTAAGTAGTGTTGAGATTGAATTACTTTTGCACAACTTCACATGTTTATCCCTTGATTTTACCTACCAGTTGATGTTATATTTAGATCTGTTACCTTATGTATAATAGCCCATATTCTTCAACCTCGTTGAAGTTCCCGTGCTTTTCTGTAATGCAATATTTGAATGTCTAATAATTAAATAGTTGATACATTTGGACGATGTGTGTATAACTGGACATTTACAGATGCAGGCATGCACACAAGTAGTTTTTTACATGCTTAAACTGGTTAGAACAGATATTATATAGTTAATTAGCACTGCTTTTCCTTAGACACTAATTCAGAATGTGCAGCAAGCCCTGCCAATATCTGTCATGATGTTTCACCTTATTTTCTTTGCCTGTCATGATGATTTCTACTTATATCAGTACTGCAAAATGTGTATTTGAATATAGATCCTGATATCATGATCATGTGGTAGATGGTGATGATTTGATTACTGTCCTCTAAATAAGTGTGTTCTATCTGGTCCATTCGAGCATTTGTATCAATCTGGAGCACTTTTTTGAAGGATGGCATTGTTGTTGACTTCCATAATTTTGTTAACACCAACTACTATGTTTAGAATGCCTAACATGTTTATAGCCTCCTCCATGAATGTTACAAACTAGTCCATGGTTTTTACTCCCTCCGTTCAACTAAGTAGGGTGTCCTTTACTTGCATGCATGTTCAACTATATAAGGCACACACTGTTTTCAAAGTACTAATTTTTTACTACTTCTGTCTCAAAGTATAACAACTTTTAGCTATGAATCTGGACAAGCACTTGTCCAGATCAATAGGTAGAAATGCTTATATTTTGGGACAGAGGGAGTACTCACTTTCCCTGCTAACCTGGTTCTGCATCATACCATTTAATGTGCATGCATGTAGTAAGTAGTATTCTCTGTACAAGTTAAGGAATGTAATTAAGGCAATAATTGAGGGCAGTAGTCCTTTTCCCTGGATCATTGGTTACTCTACGTGCTGAAAGAATACACCTTATATAGTTGAACAGATAGATTACTTTATAATTGTGGTTCCTGACTTGTATGTTGTCTCTGGCAGGTATTTATTTGTGAGCAGAAGCTTTATACAATGTCTCAATTAAATCAGCACATAAAATCTGGTGATTCGGAGGTGGATGGCTCAGAGGTTGAGCGCCGTGGCTTTGGAGGGCATCCAATGTGTGAGTTTTGCAAAAGCCCATTTTATGGTGATAATGAATTATACACCCATATGACAAGAGAACATTTTTCCTGCCATATATGTCAAAGGTATTCTGCAAGACTGCAGTCATTATCTTATTTGGTGAGGCAACAGCATAATGCTGACTTTGTGATTGTTAACAGGCAACATTCTGGACAATATGACTACTTTAGGAACTATGATGACTTAGAGGTATGCTATATATATATCAAGCTGGCATACTTGTATGAAATCAAGTACTGTCTTAAATTCAATCCGGACATGGACACAGACCCTGTGAATTTCAAATCCAACATCAACATTACATTAGAGAAAAACAGGATGAGATGAAATGTTGCATGAAAAGTGACTGGTCCATAACCATATCCAAATAAGTCATACTTGAATTATGTTAATGTGTTCCATCTAATAAGTTGAATTATGGCCATCTTATGCTACTAAGTTTAATGCTCACTTGTATTTGATTTGAGGTTACAATTTAGCATTGTGCTTGTCTGTATTCAGATGCATTTCCAGAGAGACCATTTTCTCTGTGAGGATAAAGGGTGCTTGGAGAAGAAGTTTGTTGTCTTTGAAAGTGAAGCAGAGCTCAAGGCAAGTGAATACAGTTGTGCACATCACTTGCTGGAAATGTCACCATTCTACTTTTTGAGTTGTCTATGCTTAGTTGATCTTTCATTCAATTCTCTTATTCCATCCAGAGGCATAATGGTGTGGAACACGGGAAGCACATGCCTGGTGCTGTTGACAGTAGCTCGTCGTCCATGCAAAATGGCATTGCAGCTGTAGGCCATGGGTTGGGAGGTCAAAGTGATTCATCTCGGGTGCCATTGCAATCATTAAGCATTTCTTCTAGTTCTGGGCAATCATCAGAAACAAGACAAAGCTTTGCGAGAAATCGGGTACTTCAGCAAGCATGTGTTCCTCCTCTTTCCCGTCAGGAGGTCCATGATGCTAGAGTAGGTTCTGTCCTTCAAGAAGCTTCATTCCCTTCCCTACCAGCACAATCAAGGAAGGCACCAGCACATAGTCAGAGCTCAAGGACTGCAGCAAGGATTGGGGACCAGCAGTTTCGTCCTTTATCAGTTACTAGTAACAGGAATGTTGCTTTAGCACAGCAGGGTACAAGAACATTACCTGAAAACACCCATGTATCTGGGCTTGCACAATACAGCAAGAGAACTGAGAACATGCACCAAGCTGTTCAGCCTCAGTTCCTAAAAAATAATTCTTTGATCCCTTCTGGCTCAACAAGCCGCCCTGTGCATGTCCCCAGTTCTGCTGGAAATGAAAGGCAAGACACATTCAGCAACAGCCAGGTGTTATCCAGTGTGGAGGACATTCTTGCAGCAAATAAAGCCCTGGTTGAGAAAATGCGGGCTGCATTAGGAATGGATCAGGATATGTTCAACGCATTTAAAGAGATCGCTGGGGAATATCGGCAAGGTGTTATCAATTCTTCAGAGTACCTTTCATATGTAAAGCAGTTTGGTCTCTTGCACCTTGTTCCTGAAATGGCCAGGTTATTGCCTGATGCTCAGAAGCAGAAGGAGCTTGCAGATGCCTACTATGCCAATTTGCGCCTTACAAGCCTCCAAGAAAATGGTGGGGGTGGAACCGATAACTCGAAACAAGGCAATCAGAATAAGAAGGGGAAGGGGGGAGTTCCTGACGCCATAGGAACCAGTAATGCTGCAACAGATCCGCTGAAAGATAAGTTGCTGAATACTGCCATCAAGTTCCAGTCAAATTACATGCCCCAGGAAGGGTGTTGTGGCGTGCAGCGAAAAGAAGGGAGAACAACAGATGGATCTTCTCAGGGTCTGCCTTTGAAGGGTGCTTGGCAAAGCCGTGGGGGCCAGAGACTCTTCATGAGCAAAGCAAAGAAGTGACGAATTGGTTTTGCAGGTCAAGTTAGTTAGACCTGCCATTTGAGCCGCTACGAAATGTCAAGGTTTGTGTCTATCTGGTGTGTGTCTGATAGTTGAGTACATGAGTGCAGCAATCATGTGTGATGCGTTTGCATTTTGATTTTTTTTTCTTTTTTGTCTATCATGTGTGGTGCGTTTGCATTTTGATTTTTTTTTCTTTTTGTCTATTTTTTGTGTGGTGCGTGCGTTTGGTAGACCATGGAACTTGAGACTAGAACGGTCCACACCATACTGCATAGTGGAGTTTTGCAACTTCACATGAGTGAATTTGGGCTATAGACGGTTCTGTTGCTGTCAACTCAAAACTCCTTTTAATACGAAGTTATGGTCAAAATCGTACCTTGATAGAGATAAAAGATAATGTCAAACTCATATGTTCTGTAAATACTTTTGCCGAGGAAGTGCTAATTACTACTCAAATTAGTGCAAGCCATGTCGGTCGTTCACTGCTTTGCCGACAAGTCAGAGTTTGATTTGCATCTTTGCCATATAAATACATTTCATTGATCGATCATCCATAGCCAGCCAGAAGACACCGACGAGGCGTGACCGGACCGCCACCGCCATCACCTCCGCATGGAGCGGCTTGGCGGCGTGCCACTAGTGGTTCCCCTACGTGGAGCACCTGTTGGGCGACGGCGACGTACGAGCAGCTAGCTGTTCCCAGTGCCGATGACGTCGAGGCCGGGCACCTACAACTACAAGCGTGCGGCGGCCGGCCCCTTGCCTTTTTGTTTGGTTCCCTCCCAAACATTACCAAACCTCCTTGCTAAACCTAGCCAAATATGTGGCTTTATTTGGCTTATAAATTGATGGCCACACCTTATGCAAGGTTTGGCTTAAAAGATGGGTGTATAACATGTGGGTCTTTGAATTAAAAAACTGTAGCAAAGTGTGGCAAAGTTTGGTAAAACGAGGGAATGAACCAAACAGCCTCTAGCCCTAGCCTTGCCTTAAGAGTAAGTCTATTTTACCTCCCTCATCTCTTGCCCCTGGTTAATTTGCCTCCCTGAATTGCAAAACCGGATATAGCACCTCCCTTATTTTTAAAAACCGGTGTAAATCGACTCCTTTGATGGTTTTGGAGGTGGTTTTGTCCTACATGGCGCATGTGGGACCCACATGTCAGTAAGAAAAAAAAAATAAAAATTTTACACCCGGTACGTGTCAGTCATCCTTTTATTTTTTTTCGTCACCTCTCTTTCCCATTCTCTCTCTCTCCCTGGCGGAGTCGTCGTCTCCGGCGAGCCCTTCCCAATCGCCCGCAACCCAGTCATGAACACCGCGGCGTACCTGTTCGACATGGCGGGGGTCCTCGCCGGGGTCTCCTGGCCACGGCCCCAGCTCGGGTCAGCCCCGTTTGGTGACCAGATGGATCAGCCCATTGGCCTACCCGGTGTTGTACAGCACCCTCTCCTCCGCACCGACGGCCTTGCCGACGCATCGCCACGGCTCGACGACGACGAACGCCGTGCCGCGATGTCCCTCTCTACTGCTGGGTTTGTCTCCATGGCGTCATCGCGCGCGGGGAGGATGAGCTCCCACATGATGGGCCGGGGCTGCTAGTGCTGCGAGGTGGCAGGGTGGCCTTCTCCTCCTCCTCATCGTCGTTCTCGCCCGATGCCGAGCTCCTCCAGGATGATGAAACTCGAGCATCGCCGGGGAAGGCAGCGGGCGGCGTCAAGCTGGACCCCTCCCCCGTAGTCGCCGGCATGGCCATGCAGCTGGACACCTGAGCACCGACGACGACTCCTACTTCTTCAGCACCCCTTACGCCATGTCGTTCAGATATAGCTCCATCATTAAGAAGCAAGCAGGCAGGCAGGCAGGCAAGCAATCAATTGAACAACGCAAACCAAAAACCGCTGTAGCAGCTGCTAGCTAGCTCTGGTCACAACTCGCTAGAGCCAACCGCAATCGATCTCAACAACGAATGCTTGAATTGGATTTCGTGGCGTGCGCAGGGAGGAGCTCGCCGACCACTACGCCGGAGAAAGAGAGAGAACGGGAGAGAGGATGACTGAGATGTGGGATTTTTTTTTATTATTTTTTTTAACTAGCAATAGGGTCCCATGAGCGCCACGTAAGATGAAATCGCTTCTGAAACCACTTAAAGAGTCGATTTGCACCAGTTTCCAAGAATGGAGGAGGCCTTGTAACCGGTTTTGCGATTGAGGGAGGTACAGTAGACTTATTCCCCTTGCCTAATTACCCCTTCGGCCTTCAAAAAGATGTCGATGTCCCTCACGAAGGAAGAAGCTGTCGTCGCTCCTCCGCCAAAACTTGTCGGCTAGCTCAAGGACAAGCCGAGGCAGTACTCTTTTAGCTCGATATGCTAACCAAGCCATGAACCAATCCCAAGCTCGGCTTGGCTTGTTTCCATCCCTAGGTCTAGGTGTGCCAACTCCTGCCAGACAGTGGGGTGGCTCGAAATCGAGCTCGCCTGCTTTATATTCACGATGGTCGCCATTGCCAACACCATGGGCGCTGGGAGGAAGAAGCTAAAGTAGTCCAAGGGCACTTCTATCCAGGATGGCATTGTAATTGTACCATCTACGCCACGCAGTGGTGAACAAGAATAAAAATTATTGAAAATCCTATACATATCAATTAGCAAATTATTAACTACTATACTAATTAATATGATATAAATTAGCTAGAATTGAGTAATTTACCTGTGGTCCTGTGACCCTGGTAAGCACTACGTAGGTTCGCCCATTGACACCGCGCTAGTTGTCAGTGGTAATTTATTAAATCCCATTTAAACGGTGGTGTTTCAATAAAACCATTTTTTTGCAATGGCGTGATCTCAAACTTCTCCGTGTCAGCGTACGTACGGAAATATGGAATTATTGTTCTCAACTTGTTTTTTAACCCTTATATATGGTCATGGACTAGTACTCCTTGTACGTTATGGAGGAGTATTTATTTTCTCTGGTCTTCCCAGCTGTGTTGTTCAAGGAGTACATGGTTGCATCTGATTGGAGTAGTCATCAGCTTTATTTTTATCTTCTCTAGACCGTGTAGAGTGACTGTAGAGTGTAGACGTAGGATACAGTACTACACAGGAAAGGCGTTCATAAATGCGAAAACGATAATAACTGTACCACCTATAGAACAGTGAATTTACTTCCTTCTGACCCAGAAGTAAATGTCTGTGCAATAGCATGTGGTAAATTAAAGTCTTGCATCTGCCTCAACATTACTGCTAGGTTTTAGTACCTTTTTTTCTCTTTTTCTTTTTTAAAATACTGTGATATGTTCATGTCTGTCCCATGATTAGTATAAAAAGCTCTTAAGTTCAATCTTCAGTGTAGTACTAGTAGTTTGTAGGGTTGATTTGCATGCATGGCATGTTGTTTTATATTAATTAACTTGCTTCTAAATTCCAATTGATATAGTAAATGAGAGCTTCCTGGCTAGCTTCCTCTCTCTCATACACACAAGAGACACCATCATAAGAATGTCTTGCAGGTATGTCACTTCTCCAAGGGACAGTGTAGAACCTCAACTCTGACCATATTCAAACACATAAAATGCTGAGCACGATCAGTAATTACTTCTACCTCTGTTTCAGAATATAAGCATTTCTCCACATTTCTAAAATTTATCTGAAACGGAGAGATGTGATGTGACACACCAGAAATGCTTATGTTTTGAAGCAGAGATAGTAATATATATAGCCATCACCATACAATAACACAATAATGATCACATTTAGCATTATTCATGCCTCGAGCTCGAAACAGTGGTAGTACTACTACATGATCACGAACTTAATTAAAACACAAAATATAAGAAGGGACCTAATTAAAACAAACAAACACAACCAACCAACAAACAGATAGAATAATCCTCCTCCAAATGCATGTAAAGAAAAGAGATAGAAGAGACACTACTCATAATAGAACGCTAGCTAGACACAGTGCAAGCTAACTGCACATATGAAGATATAACGCGCGCGCGTCATATAGCCATCCATATTGCATGCAACGCCGTGCGCTACATAGAGCACATTACCCGCGCAGCAGCGGCGACGCCGCCGGCGACGGCGAGGTCTCTCATGGCTTCTTGGCCTGCTTGTCGGCGGCGGCGGGGGAGCCGGGCATGCCGCCGCCGAGGCCAGGTGAGCCGCCGCCGAGGCCGCCGAACATGGGCATGCTGCCGAAGCCGCCGAGGCCGCCGGGGGTGGAGCCGCTGCTGCCGGGGAGGCTGAACCCCGGGATGCTGCTGCCGGGCATGCCGCCGAACGCCGGCACCGCGCTCCCGAAGCGGTCGAACGGCGGGAACGTCGTCGGCTGCACCACCGTGTCCTTGCTCTCCGCCGCCGCCGCCGCCGCCGCCTTGATGTTCCTCGCCTCCGCCGCGCCGACCACCGCGAGCACCAGCACCGCCGCCACCGCCATCATCTTGCTCGACTTCTCCATCTCTAGCTCGATCTCTCTTGCAAAAGCTAAGCTAAGCTCGAGTGTGCAAGCTGCTGCTGCTGCTGATCGATGTGGAGTTGGAGGAGGAGGGAGAGAGGAGGGGAGAGGATTTATAGCGGAGGAGAAGCTCATCGTCATCGATCGGCAGAGAAGACGGTAGGTGGGAGGCGTAACTGCGGATGTTAAAGGAGGGGGTACCTGCTGCTGTTACTGCAATCCTGTGATCCCCATTAATACTTTTGCTCTTACAGATCATCAATATAAATGTAGTACACATGTAGGAGTAATATGATATGGAGTAGTATGGCTCTCAATGACTTTGGATGAATTGGCACAACGGAAAGGAGGAGGAGGAGAGAGGAGAGAAATGAACAAACCCTAGCTAGATCTGTGGTTGTGGTTGGGAGCTAGTAGTGGCATTCAAAATGTTGTGAAACCCTTTTAATTAGACAGCTTGCATTGCATGTAAGGGGGGTTAGTGTACTAAGACCAAGTATAATAGCAGGCTATAAGCCAACTATATGCTTATGTGGAGGAAAGAGAATTTAAAAAATGCAGAGGATTGGCTCTCATACAAGAGCTAGCTATTCACATACTTCAAGACAAATACATTAAATATATAGGTAAGAGATAGAGAGAGGAGGAGAAAAAAAGAAATAACCTTATAGCTCATTTACTATACATGTTTACTCCAATATAAATTATAAGCTTATAGTTAGCTCTATTATTAAACTTGCTCTAATGAACTAGTTATGGATTGGTGTGCCTGATGATGATATCATATGGCACTTGGTAGGCAATGGAAAACAAGAGAGATGGCATATTAATGGCATTGCCTTTTTTTTTGTGTGTCCAACTGTGATTAAATGTGGGATACTACTAATGAAGGACTTAGCATCTATTACTGATATTAATTTAACATAAAGAAAAACTTTATTGATCTCAGATAATTAATTGCATCAATGTGATATTATTAATCGATCTAAGAGACAACCTGTCAACCTCTGCATATAGCTAGGATATGGATGCCCTAGGATATGCAGAGAGCCTGAGATTATTAAAAAGGAAAAAGTACGAATTACCCCCCCAAATCTATCGCGCTCGTCCGAATTACCCCCCTAAACCACAAAACCGGACATTCTTCACCCCCAACTATGCAAACCAGACAAATTACCCCCCCTCGACCCAATCCGCGGTGGTTTTGGCCTATGTGGCGTACACGTGGCAATCCAGTCAGCATTTTATTTTATTTTTAATGGTGGGACCCACATGTCAGACCCCTCTTTCTCTCTTCCTCCCTCTCTCTTTCTCTCTCTTCATCGGTTAGCGGCAGCGGCGCACACGTCGGTGGCCGGCACGCATGGCGCGGCGCGAGGAAGGGCGATGGGCGGCGGCGCGGGGGCGGGCCGGCGGTCGGCGCGCACGCGGCGCACCGGGAGGTGGAGGGGATGGGGGAGAGGCGGGCGTCGGCGGCCATGGCCGGAAGCGTCGGGGGGAGGACGGGGGACGGCGGACGGAGGCGCACGTTGGGAGCTGGAGCGGTGTCGGGAGGAGGACGGGGAGGAGGAGCAAGAGAGGCGGAAGAGGGAGGAAGCAGCGGCGGAGGAGGAGGCCGTTCCCGCGACCAAATCCGTCGGCGCCACACGGGGGGACGACCGTCGTCGGATCCGCACGGGCGACGGCCACCGCACCTCCCCACTACCGTCAGATCCACACGGTTGCGCAATCCACCTTGCCGGGAGAGGAGAGGGGAGAGGAGGAGTGGGGGAGAAGAGGAGAAGAAGGCCGTTCCCGCTCGTCGGGTCAGGGCGGGGCAGCAGCTGCGGCGGCGGTGGCAACTGCGGTGGAGGCGGCGCATGAGGTCCTGTGGGCGCACGGCTACGCATCGACGGCGGGGCGGCAACTGCGGTGGACGGCGGCGCGCGGGGAAGGGGCGGCCGCCGTAGTGCCGGCGTGTCCGAGCTCCACGCCACCGCGACGGTATGGGCATGAACATTATGCCGCTACAAAACTATAACACGCATAAGATTAATACCAAAATCCGAGATGATTTGAAGTTTTGAACCCAAACCCACAGAGAACTCTAGGCAGCTCTCGGACAACCGACGTATAAACGTACCCGTTTGTTCTCCATTTAACTAATTAAAAGGAGGACATTTTTGAACCAGGAGAAAAAGAAAGAAAATCTGTTTAGATTTTAGAGCGATTAATCGGTTGAAGCTAGACAGGGAGATCAAAGAACTGTTTGGCCATGACTTTCTATAAGCATGGATACGTACGATAGAGAATCTAGTTGATCGTGACACTTAACACTAGGAAAGAACTCGTGTATGCGTGTGAGTGATAATTAATGTGTATCATCCTGGCAATTATAACAATTAATCATTATATATCGCCGCTCGATTGATTCATTTCATCGTTGGTATACATTATATATTTATATGGTTGTGTGTTACTACCACGCTAATGAAAACGGACCATATATATGTTCTTGAGTGTTCTTCAACTTTCACGGGGTTAATTATTAATCAATTTATTACCACGGTCAGATCATAACCTCATCGCTGCCTGCTAGTCTTGTGCGTACTAGCAGCACAAATCCAGTACTGGTTTGACAAAAAATGGTAGGATCAAATATGTCAGACATTACAGCTTGCGTGCATGTGGTGTAGTAGCTCTTCTGTTCTTTACTCCAGTTCAGAGAGAATCAAATTCGCTAGCTGGAGTACTATTTCCGTAACTTGGATGGAGCTTCAACTTCGCTAGATAGTAACAATGGGAGGTTAAATTTCTACTTGACTAATTTAATTTAGTGACTATAGCAAATGATAACTATTACTGTTGTTTTGTTTGTTATAATTTGCCTTTAGCGGCTGAGGAATAAACACAACTTGGAACTACCAGTTTATACTTTGCATACATCTGCTGTTAATTGCATGCACCTGCAGATCGATCTACTCCCATAAGCAGATTTATAGCTCTTGGAACTTTGGAAGAATGGTAGTTGGGTGACATAATGCTACTAGATGCATGGGCACGGCCAACATGCCCTGATCAGGGATATGGCCGGGGTCTTTTGGCTCATAGCATCATACTATTACACCTAGCTAGAGATTCCTAGTTAGCTAGAAAATGACAAGTTGATTATTCGTGTGGTCCTTTTATATATCTCTGCTACTTAAAAATATGGTTGTTCTCTTTTCAAACCATCGCGTGTAATGTCAGAAAACCCCGTAGAAAAAACTGAATCGGCCCACCTCCCATCATACACAATTTTTCCCCAGCTAAAAATTAACTAGCTAGAAAAACTCGATAGAAAAAATAAACCCTATATAAAACTATTATTCCTTGAAATCCCATTGCAACGCATGGGCATAGCGCTAGTGAGTTTGGAAAATTGGTGAGATTTTCCTATTGCCATCATATCTTGAAACGACTCTTCAAATTAATAAAATAATAAAATGGCGTCACTGTTAATGTTATATGTGCATAAATTCCTTTTGCTCTTAATTTGATTTTAATTGTGGCATTTCTCTAATGTCCTAGTTAAACCATTTTTTCCAAAAAAGAAAAAAAAACCTAAGCCCTCATTTCTTCCGTGCGATCTAAATAGTTATAAGAGATCCTTCAAAAAATTAGAAAAATAAATATTGTATTGGGTGTCTTAGCCTATAAAAACATGCATAATCAAACTCGTCTATATGTACGGACGAACTAAAACAACAATCCAACTACTTTGGTGCCATTGGAATTGTTATTTTGTTTCTGCGTGTGTGGATTAAATTTGAATTTACATGTTAGTACATGGATGTATATGACATGATTATGTATTTCAATTCATTTTTAAATTTATTTGGACCATGTATATGTGAAAGCGTAAGATTAGGAAGCTTTGTAATAAAGTTGAGGGAATGTCCACAATACCTAAATTTAGACAGATCCAATTTAAAAGATTTTATAGGTTCATTAATTAAGACTTGGCAGAAGAACTAATAAGTTTCTCTAACAGTTAAAGACCCTTAAGATCACAAAATTAATTTCATTTCAAAATTATTTGCAAAAGGATATCAATTTGTAATACATGAAGCCATACATCGTTATAAGCAATAATTAAGGACGACCTTATAAGATATATATATAATTCTCCATAGTGTGGTAGTACGTACTGCATCAGAATATATGCTAGCTATGTACACTACTAGCCTAGTTTACACGCAGTACATGTACGTATACGCCCGTTGTGAATTGATCACGGTGTGACGACTTTGAGCCATGGATAGCTGTATATATAACGATCCACGGATCGGAGTCACGCGCCAGCCATCGCTAGCTAAGCTGTGTAGCCCCACAGAGGCAATACTAACCCGTTTGGGATAGAATTTTTACTGGATTATTACTATTTACTATCAATTTCATTATAAAGGTAAAAAATATTATAAACATATATATAAATTTTACAGATAACTCAGAACAATTGGTCTAAGCAATACAGTAGATTTTCTAAAGGCATTCATATTTTTTAAAAAATATGGGAAACGTGTAGTGTAAAACAAATAATCGGTGTCACTGATTCGATGAAGTATATGAAAACAACATGGCCCACTGTAAATTAGGGGGTGTGTACGTGAATGGTTTAGACGACGCGATGAGGCTTACAATCTTGTAAATGGCCAAAAATTCAGAAATTTTAGGGGTCACCAAAATTTTTTAAAAATATTAAAATTATTTAAATTTTAAATAAATTATGTCTGAATTCTAATATATTTTGGTCAGCTCATAAAAACTTGAAGAACAAAAATAAAATAAAAAATTCAGATGGGATAGTTTCTTTTTTAGATAATGGATTAGATTAAAACCGGCCTATACAAATTTGTGGGGCGAGACAGTTTCATGCCCAGAGGATATGTGAAACTACCGAAATTTCCATCCTAGCACGATCGATCAAGGGATTGGAAACCTCTGACGAACGTGGTGCCTGACATGTGGACCCTACCTCTCGCGGGCCCACCTATCAATGACCACGTCAGGGGAAGTTCACGTCAGATGGTCCCTTTCCTCGATCGATCGAGTTGATCGATTGGTGGCAAGTGGAGAGCGCCGGCATGCA